CCCGCCCTTCCACCAGCTTCGGCGGGGCACATCCAGAACCCTCTCGGTCCTGGTGGCGACTGGCAAGCAGGGACGCAGGTCTGCTGGCCACGGCGCGGCCGCTCAGCCTCGGTGGTAGGGCTGACAGAAATGGGCAGTGGTGAAATCGTTCCCCATTACATCCAGGAGCAGGTGGAAGCCCAGAGGAGAGAGAGAGAGAGATGTCCTCTACCACGGTGATGGAGCGGAAGGTGGGAACTGAAGCGACATTTCTGGGCTCCCCCAGTTACGCCTGAGGCTCAGACCAAGCTGCCTTTTTCAGTCGTTACGAGCATTAACGTTACTGTTGGTTCTGCACCATCGGTGACCCGTTCCTGGAAATGGCTATGGGCTTCCTCGCTGCAGCCAGCCCTCAGCTCTTACCCACTGCCTGCTTTCCCAGATGAGTCGTCTGTTATTGATCCACGCAAACTCGTGCATATAAATTGGTATCTGTAGGTATAAAGGCCTTAATTACATCTGTTAGTACTATATTGCTCTTTATTTTCGTTATAAAAGATGAGTAAGCTTTTAAAACATTAACTTCATCTCGACAGGGGTCAAGGGTAGCCTCTCCCCTTGTGCTTGGGAAACTAAAGCACAAAAAGATTTGGTAATTTGTTCAAATTCTGTGGAGAAGCCCAAAACATCCCATGAGTCTGCCCCACGTCCCTTGTGTTGGTTTCTTTGTTTCTAAACAACTGCAGGAACTCCAAAGGCTGCACAGGATCCGTGTGCCTGAAAACGTCCGTCACTGCTGGGTAGCTCAAAAGGTTCGATATTCGCGTGCAACAATCCCAGGGCGAGATAAGATTACGAGATGCTTGCAGTCATTTCTCAAATCTCAGACCCTTAGCCCTGCAAAGCGCTGACTGCACGCAAAGCTGACCAGTGACGTGGCTTCATCGTTACCTCTGTAGAGGAAGTCAGAACAGTGATGCTCATTTCTGGCGTCCCCAGCCCGCTCTCCACCTTCAGCAAGTAGGGGCTCCTGGGCTCCCACGGAGCAGAATGATCCTGCAGGTTCTTAGCACGAAGCCGGAAGCCAAGTCCAAGGTTTAGCACACACAAAGTGTTTGCCCACTGCAAAAGTTCGTATATACAAAGGATGTTGTGTTTACTTGTGCTTTACATCGCCTTTTTATCGCCTCGTATGGGCAGTACTTTGCAGACACACCCGAATGGCAATATCCACCATAAAGTGACCCTTCCCCGCACAGGGCTGAAAATGCACAGCAGAAGTGGCAAGCACAGCTGGCTCTGCTTCACCACTGGGGTGGAAGGAGCTGTCCTGAGGTCATCAGGCCACCAAGCAGGGGCCAGGGCACAGTCACGGCCCTCCACCTGCTGGGTGACTCAAAAGGGAAAGGGCCACCTTGGTTTTCAGGTAGTTCCTCGCTCATTTGTAGTTACTGACAAGCGGCCAGGCCTTTGTGTGAAGATCACAGAACCATTTGGTTGGAAAAGCCCTTTAAGATCATAGAGTCCAACCGTTCCCCTAACCCTGCCACCCCACCACTGAACCCCGGCCCTAAGCACCTCCTCTGCCCGACTTTTAAATCCCTCCAGGGATGGGGACTCAACCCCTTCCCTGGGCAGCCCCTTCCAGAGCCTGACAGCCCCTTTGGTTCTTGTCTGGAATTCAGAGTTCTCAAAGGGGAAGAAACAGTTCCAGTAGAGGAAGATGATGTTCTCAGCAAATACAACATATACTGAAAAATCTGCTATTGCCTAGGTGCACAAGATATAGAATTGACCTGTACAGAATTCTGTGCAATGCTTTTCAAAGCTCCACGGCTTAAAAAAAAAAACCCCAAAACAACCAAAACAAAAAACCCAACCCCTCTCTTATTCTACTTTTATAGATGGGGAAAACTGGGACAGGGTCCAGTCACATAGCCCGAGGTCACATGGAGTTAGTGACAGATTCCCCTTGGGCAAGCAAGGTCCCAGCCCAAGAGCAAGGCATTTTTTTGGAGTTACAGGAGGTAGACATCCAGGTTACAAGACATCGCAAGGTGCACATGAGAGAAACATTGCCCAGAGCTCCTTGCTGTGCTGGACAGCAAAGAGGAGCCAAGTCCGGCATACGAGGATTCTCTTCTGCTGGCTGGAGGTGAATTGCATCCAACGTGAATCTGGCCAGCCCCAGTCTCATCTTCTCACCTCAGCTCTCACGGCGCTGTCTGCCATGGATTTTAACCAAGTTCTGTGCACTAGGAGCTGGTTCCTCCAGGCCTGCTCTTGTCTAACTCTTGAAGTCCAGATTCCAGCACGCTGTTAACCACCGTCTAAGTAAGGCAAGTTTTTATGCTGTTTAGCTCTACCTGAGTCGAGTTGGATACATCAGAGGTAGACTTGCTTTGCTCAGTAATTTCTCACCCACATTTAAAGACAATAAAAACAAGGGTTGCCTGGCAACCCTTGGAGAAGAGTTACTTGGCAGGACAATGGAGAAAACACTTTTATTTTGCACGAAGCAATACTCTGAAAGAATTCCTACTTGCAGTTTCTGCGTTTGAGTGAACTCCATTCATTCAGCTCCTCTTTGGCTTAGGTCTGTCTCTGCAGGACATCTCAGAGTATCAGGGTATTTCTAGTGTTTGTGGAACTACAAATCATTGTTAGAGTGATAGACTGTGGGCAGAGCAAGCAAAATCAGGTTTAAAACGGACACTCCCTCTAACCAAATGATTTTGAGTCACCAACCCACAGCTTTCACGTCAGCAGAATTCAGTTTGAGCAGTCTAGGGAGTCAAAACATGAAAGGAGGAGCCACCCTTCGTGGACAGAGGTGCACAGAAGACAGAAACCAAAGCCATGATCAGTTTTGGTACTTCAGACCTGGCCATATCGGATCTTAAGTGAGCTTCAGAGGCAGCAACGGACTCCAAAACTTCTGGCCAGACACCAGAGACAGAGGCAGCGAGCTCAGCAGCAAAGGTGGACCATTTCTGACAGAAGTTCAATCTCTCTGCCATTTCCCACCACGTTGATTTTCCAGAGTTGCAGAGGACTCAGCACCCAGCTCTGGATGGATGCAACATCTACGCTGAAGCTTATGGTAAATCTCAATTGAAGCCTCCCTTCGCAATGTCCCATCGGGAACAGAGATCTGCTTTCCTCATCTGATCTCAGAAATGGCAAGCTTTGTTGTTCAATTATTCTGTGATGGTGTCAACCACTGCCTTCCCATCTCCAGCTCACCCAACAAGGGGGATCTCCCCCTCTTGGTCACCACCTGCCTGGCACACACTGAGCCAGAAGTTCCATATTTGAGGAAGTAATTCCTTAGGCTCTCACCTGAAAAAGGAAAGCTTTCTTGGCTGCCCCTCTGCTGATACACAGCAAATACAGATCTGAAGGCCATGACCTTCCACCCGCACGTTGGATTTATAGCTGTGGAGTCCATTGTTGAGGAAACATCAGCCAGGAAGCCTAGAGGATCATTTCCCATGAAGGAGGGAGGACTAGGCTGCGTTGCCAGAGCACGGAGGCAGCTTTATCTGAGGAGATCGAACCGGAGCCTGGCCAAGGCTGCAGCGTCTTCCAAGTCAAGAGGTTTCAGTGAGCACTGTCCCTTCAGAGCTTCTGGCCCGTGAGATAACCTCTCTGCAAGCAGAAGGAATTACATGTGAACACCAGACAGAGATCACAGAGGAGCAACCCGGGAGATGTTCCGATGAGCAAGAGCCACGCTGCAGTCTTCAGATGTTCAGAAAACATAAGTCATAACTCACCTTAAAAGCTGAGACTTGTATATGCGTGTACGTACACAAAAGTGTGGTGCGTTTTTTATTTTAGGTAAACCTAAGCTCCTTGTCTCGTTTGCTCAGCCCGATACACACACGTTTCCGTGTTCTGTAATCTTTGTAACCATGAGAACTAGAATTTTTTCCTGTTTTCTTAAAACAGAAACTTAGATTCTCTCTCAGTTTCTTACCAGTAGGACTACCGTTTGTAAACAAGTTTAAATATTTAATGATCTGTGATACAGTCACAAGCACTCGTAGCCGGCGGGGAAGTAAAGAAAAAAAGATTGGTGTCAGTACTATGAATACAGCGAAACTACTTACGCACAAGCTTCAGCTGGAGGAACCAGTCAGGTCAGAGGTTGTTGTTATTGTCCGACTACAAGGACTCAGACCATGCCTGGATTCAAGGACAGGCATAACACAGGCCTGCACCACTACTCCAGCTCCCAAAATACGCACTAGAGCAAACACAACCAGTATCTAGAAGAGCAGTTGATCTTTGGGTAAACAGTGAATGGTGCGAGCAGCATTACACACCTTTTATTCTATATTCAGCTCCGCTTACTAGGAAAAGCGGTCGAAACTCAAGAAGGAGTGGGTTCAGAAAGCAAGCTCTTCACCAAAGAGGTGAAGAGTTCCCCAAGAGCTCACGTGCAGGACTGCCTGCCTGGCCGACAGAAGGGCGGCCTCCTGTCACGGGTAGGGTATAGACTGTCCCTAGGTATCACCTCACACGAGCCACCAGGTCTGCCAGACACCAGCAGTTCCCGATTGCTACCCCATCATACAGCCCCAAGGCAAAGGATGTTTTCCCAATAAGACAAAAAGCAGCCCTGTAGGAAACATTGGGAAAAGCGACAGACAATCAGAGGTAGTGAGACAAAAGTAAGGTTGCGAGAGGGCCCTAAGCATACGTCAGGAACAACGGAACAACTTGACACAGTATTTCTTAACATTTTCTCCAAAGACTGGGCTGACTTTTTTTTTCCTCCAGGCTCTTTTACAGTATTGGGCCCAATCACATCCACTTGACACCTACCACAGGACCTGTGCTTACAGGAGATTAAGTGAACAAATACAAACTGGTGCCAAGAAAATAATCTGTCAGCTCCATTAATGGTGCTTCTGGCTTGCTCACTGTCAGCAGCGCTTACTTCCCCAAGTTGTCTCAACCATTCCTGGGGCTGGTGCACATCAAAACCACCACAGATGTTCGTCCACTTTGAACCATTTTCACAGCCCAAGAACTGACCCCTCGCCCATTTCACATTTCCACGTACCAAGGGCCAAGATTCTCACAATCCACAGTTCTGTCATCTCCCAGAGATCAACCACACCAGCTCCCCGTGCAGACTGTTCCTTACTGCACAGGTGAAAAGGACCAGAGCCATTCCTGTTCATGAAATTCAGCTGGTATCTGCCACCGATATTTTAAGTTAGAGAAATGCATTGCTCCAACCCAGACCTTTGTGGATGGGTGGATGTTATGTTTGGTACCAACTGGAGAGGTGCCTGAACTAACAGAACACCCAGGATTCCTAACTGCAAGGAAACAGGGATTTAATTCAAAGGTTCCCAAGATGACCACTGCAAAGAGCTTAAATTGAAACTCTGGAATGACTGCTTTGGAAGACTCAGACCATGCCTGGATTCAAGGACAGGCATAACACAGGCCTGCACCACTACTCCAGCTCCCAAAATACGCACTAGAGCAAACACAACCAGTATCTAGAAGAGCAGTTGATCTTTGGGTAAACAGTGAATGGTGCGAGCAGCATTACACACCTTTTATTCTATATTCAGCTCCGCTTACTAGGAAAAGCGGTCGAAACTCAAGAAGGAGTGGGTTCAGAAAGCAAGCTCTTCACCAAAGAGGTGAAGAGTTCCCCAAGAGCTCACGTGCAGGACTGCCTGCCTGGCCGACAGAAGGGCGGCCTCCTGTCACGGGTAGGGTATAGACTGTCCCTAGGTATCACCTCACACGAGCCACCAGGTCTGCCAGACACCAGCAGTTCCCGATTGCTACCCCATCATACAGCCCCAAGGCAAAGGATGTTTTCCCAATAAGACAAAAAGCAGCCCTGTAGGAAACATTGGGAAAAGCGACAGACAATCAGAGGTAGTGAGACAAAAGTAAGGTTGCGAGAGGGCCCTAAGCATACGTCAGGAACAACGGAACAACTTGACACAGTATTTCTTAACATTTTCTCCAAAGACTGGGCTGACTTTTTTTTTTCCTCCAGGCTCTTTTACAGTATTGGGCCCAATCACATCCACTTGACACCTACCACAGGACCTGTGCTTACAGGAGATTAAGTGAACAAATACAAACTGGTGCCAAGAAAATAATCTGTCAGCTCCATTACTGGTGCTTCTGGCTTGCTCACTGTCAGCAGCGCTTACTTCCCCAAGTTGTCTCAACCATTCCTGGGGCTGGCGCACATCAAAACCACCACAGATGTTCGTCCACTTTGAACCATTTTCACAGCCCAAGAACTGACCCCTCGCCCATTTCACATTTCCACGTACCAAGGGCCAAGATTCTCACAATCCACAGTTCTGTCATCTCCCAGAGATCAACCACACCAGCTCCCCGTGCAGACTGTTCCTTACTGCACAGGTGAAAAGGACCAGAGCCATTCCTGTTCATGAAATTCAGCTGGTATCTGCCACCGATATTTTAAGTTAGAGAAATGCATTGCTCCAACCCAGACCTTTGTGGATGGGTGGATGTTATGTTTGGTACCAACTGGAGAGGTGCCTGAACTAACAGAACACCCAGGATTCCTAACTGCAAGGAAACAGGGATTTAATTCAAAGGTTCCCAAGATGACCACTGCAAAGAGCTTAAATTGAAACTCTGAAATGACTGCTTTGGAAGGCCGAGCCAGTTATTGTCAGAGTGAAATATTACAGATACTGCCGTTCCTAGCACTCAGCACAGTAAATGCTGAAGAACTACTTCCTTGTAAATTCCCCTAGAGTTACCAAATACATGGGATAACTCCTTAATCTTGGACTTCCTGAGGCAAAGTAAACCAAAACATTTGCCCGCGCTCCATACCACCAGGTAGTGGCAACAGGCAGACCCCTATTCAACAGAGGGGCACCTACACCCACCCCTGTATTTCAACAGTTCCCTTACACTTCCTCGAGCCACTCCAAGCATCTTCTCCCAAACCCACCTGCCAAGACATTCTGTGGAGCCATCACTATTGGGCTTTTTACTGGTAAAGACAGACTGTTCTCTTCTAGAACAGGACGTCTTTTAATCCTGTGATATAAACCCTTTTGTTTTGGCACAGAACCGCTTTAATGTAAAAACGTACACTTTCTGCCTTGTTTTTTTCCTCTCCAGATTTTAACAAATGTACCAGGAAGCAGATCGCTACTTACACAACACTGCACATAAGCACAGTAGTTTACAGAACACAGATGCTGATTTTTATGCCAAGTGACATTATGTTCATGCAGGAAAGCGTAGCCTGGGTCTTACCTTTATCTTTATCCTCGTCCATGCCACTTGCACCGGAGGAAGGTCATGTCTGTAGCTAGCAGAATTTAGACTTAACTAAGGTAACTCCTCCTAAAGTCTTCCTGGAGGAGGCTGCAGCTGTGAAACCTGCCTCCCCAGATCTTGCTTACTTCAGGAATTGGACAAGAAGCAATTCTGGAAGCATCCAGAGCAGAATGAAGTAATTCAACAGGGAAACGCTGACTATCTTTTAGAACTGGAATTAGTAAAGAGAGTTCTGATGTTGAAATGCTCCAAGTAATAGCCAGGTAGTAAGAACTAGACTTAAAATGGGAACCGTCTGTAGAGAACATTGTTACTTCAGGTTGTTCATATCCAAATGGATCAAAGTCACTTTGTACCACATTATGTCTGAGCTACTTTAATAATACTTTGACTTCTACTCAATTATTTAGCATACCAAGTATGAAATAATTACATTTCTGACTGCATGCACAGGTCAAGCTAAGGCTGAGATAGTTTGCTGATTCAGGAACAGACTAACTTACATTCCACAGCTGTGCTCCGCTGAAGCTCTGACACGCTTTCCTTGTATCTGCTGCCCATCTCAATTCACTGCCTTTTCTCAGCTGAGATGTAATGAGAACTACGGTAAAGAACCGCCAGCCAGCTACTGCGAGATGGCCAAGAAATAACTGGTCTTCTCCCTGCACAGGAAACAGGGGCACCCACCGAAACTATCCAGTAACGATGCATTTGGAACAGGTAACTGCATTGTGTGAGCTACGAATTCCTGCTAAGGAACAGAACGTCAGAGGGAGCTGCAGAGGTCAAAAGCATGACTTAGTTCAAGCCAAGATTAGTCAAGGTCACAAGTAGGTCCACTGGTAATTACACAGAATAATCCTACGCAACCTCTAGCTCAGGAAGTTGCTAGACTAGAGGTTGGCTGAAGGAAGGCTGCCTGCAAATCCTTTCAGCTGCCTTACCTCCATAGCAAAGATTAAGAAAATTGCCATGAGATCGGTTTGGATTTAAAAGCAGCATTAGAAGAGTCACTGTCACACTGAAGCACCTACATGACTGACCACAGAAACACCCAATGCCTCTTGTTTCCCCCGGAGTGGACACAAGTTTAACCCAGGCAGCGCCTCCAGCAACGTCTGCTCACAGAGCCCGAGAGGCTCAAACAGCAGAGCCCTGCGGCACACAGCACCCCGGGCTGCTCCTCCCGGATGGGCCCAGCATGGCATCTACTATACTTCTACTCAGGGTGTAACAACTTAGGCTAGTCTTAAATCTACTGCAGTTTGATCATTCAGCACCAGATTTCTTTCCTTATGAGTAGGCACAGTGGTATAGCTCATAAGAAACTACTATCAAGTAAACTTAATAGAAAATCAAATACTTTAATGAAATTAGGGAGCATGAGAGTAACAGCTCAGATATACCACTAGAACTGATACTACTGGGCTGTGGGGGTTTTGCTATTTTTTTTTTTTTCTTTTAAATGCTCTGTTCTTCAACAAGCATGCAGATTGACAAACTACTAATTCTTCAGAGTGTCAAAGATCCTGAGTAAAGAATTTGAAACCACTTAAAATGTATATATAGGAAATGTCTTATGAGCTGGTGGCCTGCACACAGCATTGCACAGATAAAAATATACTACTCTCAATACACAGAGCTAAATACTTTCACATTTATCAGAATTTTCTACACAAGTCTTTTGATAGAATTCAAGTTTTGAATTTTCTGTATATATCTTCCACCTGTATTAAACAAATGCTTATTTACATTGTGGATAAGTTGTAAAGGCTAGTAAGGCCATATTCCCATACTGTACTGTAACACTGCAAAATATATATACACATATATAACCTAATATAGGCAACAGTTCTAAAAGAGTCACCTTACATTTGTACAACATAATTGAGTCAGTATGAAAAGACAGCTTTGTTAGCACCAAGCCACTCCAACAGTTTTTATGAACTGTCTTGAGCCTTCTAGTTCCACAGGGAAGGACTGTTCAGCACAGTATTCCAAGTACTGAGCCATGGAGGTCCTGCTTGCAGAACTGGAAGTCCCAAATAACACTCCACTGCGCTACGGTATGCAAAATTACTAAACAGCAGGCATAGGAGCATCCAGAGACAAGTTCTGCAGTGTTATTAGCCGACACTCCAGCAGAACAGTCACCAAGACATTTATCAGATTAAGTCTTTCACATCATCCTGTCCTGTTAGTGTCTTTCCTTTGGATTCATGATAGCAAGTACAGAATTGCCAGCAGAATAGACATTACTCAAGCTAGGTGGTTTACAAGCCAGGTTAACCCTATGCTGCAGAGACCAAATGGGGAAGAGCTCCACTGCTTACAATTCCAAAGGAAAGAACTTTTTGCTTTATTCATCGCCTATGCCTACTGTGGCCAGGATGGTCTCGGTCATAGCGATGACTTGCTCGCTCATAGGAGCGTGAACGCTCATGCCTGTGATTTCTATAGTAGTGACTCTTCTTCTTGTACTTCCCCGAATGGTCAGAGCGCTCCCGGGATCGGCTCCTGGAACGTGACGAACTCCTGCTGCGTGATTTCCGTGGTTTGTGTGTTGAGTATTTGTAGTCTTTTGATTTCTTGTAACTTCTCACCTTGGAACCTTTGTAGCTAGAACTGTGGTTGAACTGCCTTGGAGGAGAGTCACTGCGGCTCCTCGAACGGCTGTGGGATTTGGAACCGCTTGATGTGGAGTAACTTTCACTTTTCCTATGGAAAGAGAACAGGAGAGAAAGCATGTAATTTTCTTAATATTAAATAGAATTACTCTACATTACTATTAGCGCCTACATGTAGTCACAATACATACATACACACTTGTAAGTGCCACACAGACAAATGCTTCTCACTTGTAGAGCCAAGGTGTGCAAGAACAGTTTGAGACCAGGCACTGGATTCTGGATTCTGTTGTTCAGTATCCCATGAAAACTAATCTTGTGTCCCAGATGTGCTCACATCTGGTTACTGTGGAAATACTGATTTTTAGAAACTCAAATCCATTTGCAGCATAGTAGTCACGTCTCAGTTCTAGATGTTTTTCCTTTACTACTTAGGAAAGATGCGTGAATAGCTAAGAGTAACTGCCAGACTCAAAGTGCTGCCAACAGTAAGACAAAAGGTAAAACTACTCCTGCTTGAGTTACAGTAACGCTGTCACCCAAACGCCCAAGTCTGGAGTTAATGTTCCTTTCTGTCTCTTTGATCACCCCTCTATGGGTACCACGGTTATAGGGCAAACGTCAAAGGCAGTACAGAAAGCAGATTTTAAAGATGTTTCACTGAATTCAGATAATTACTAAAATGCACTTTTGAATTCAAGTTTTAAGAAGGATTTTAATCCACAGATTTTAGCTTTGTTCTTTTCCACATACACGTTAACACAAAGCCATACTTTTATCAGCACACCCCCAAACCCAACAGGATACAGACTGCCGAACAGGAAGTCAAACTCGCATTGACCAAGGGTCACCAATCTCTGCTACTCTCAACTACATACAAAACAGGATCACTCTTTATTTCATAAATTAAGGTTTTGCAGGAGCAACTGCAACTGGAGCCCTCAGCACAAGGAGGACATGGACCTGTTGGAGCGGGGCCAGGGGAGGGCTACTAAAATGCTCCAAGGGCTGGAGCCCCTCTGCTGTGAGGCCAGGCTGGGAGAGTTGGGGGTGTTCAGCCTGGAGAAGAGAAGGCTGCGGGCAGAGCTGAGTG